TTCCTCCCAAGTGAGCTTGTTTAAAGTCACTAAGCTTGATTGTTTATGCCTTTTAGGCTTTGGGAGGCTCGTAGAGAGGTATGGAGGACCCCTCTGGTGTCTCTTGATCAGCTAGGTAGCGCTTGACACGTTGATCGTTCACAGTGAACTCGCTGCCATCCTTGTTCAGAAAAGTGATCGCACCGAATGGCAAAACATCCTTGATTTCAAATGGTTCAGACCATCTGGACTTGACCTTTCCAGGAAACAGTTTCAGGCTGGAATTGAACAGCAAGACGTGATCTCCAGCGTTAAGCTCCTTAACGACAATTTTCTTATCATGAAAAGCCTTGGTTCTCTCCTTATAGATTTTGGAACTCTCGAAGGCATTAAGTCTGATTTTCTCAAGTTCATGGATGTCAAGAACTCTCTTTGCCTGGGCTGCATCGATGTCTAAGTTCAGAAGCTTGATAGCCTAAAGCGCCTTATACTCAATCTCCATAGGGACATGACATGCTTTACCATACACCATCTGAAAACGCGTCCTTCCTATTGGTGTCTTGAAAGCTGTTCTGTACGCCCATAGAGTATCATCCAACTTGGTAGACCAATCTTTTTTCGAAGCCCCAACAACTCTTGACAAGATTCCTTTTATCTGCTTGTTAGGGAGCTCAACTTGTCCACATGTCTGGGGATGGTAGGCTGTAAACACCTTATGCTTCACACCATACTTCTTCAACATGCTTTCAAAAACCTTGTTGATGAAGTGTGTACCACCATCACTGATCACTGCTCTCGGTACTCCATACCTGGGAAAGATGATGCTCTTGAACAGTTTCAGAACAACCTTGTGATCGTTGGTGGGACTTGCAATGGCTTCAACCCATTTTGAAACATAATCAACTGCAACCAGAATGTAGACGTTGCCGTTTGATGGAGGGTTGAACGGTCCCATGAAATCAATTCCCCAAACATCAAAAATTTCTACTTCCAAAATCGGGTTCTGAGGCATCTCATTCCTTCTGTTGATGTTACCCATCCTCTGGCAGGCGTCACACTTGGTGATGAAACTGTTTGTATCCTTGAACAACGTTGGCCACCAAAGGCCTGCTTGCAGAACCTTTTGAACTGTTTTGAATGTAGCGAAGTGTCCTCCATATGCGGATCCATGACAATGCTCAAGCACTCCCTGCACTTCTCCTTCTGCTATGCATCTCCTAAACAGCCCATCTGAACCTCTCTTATACAAGTAAGGTTCATCCCAGAAGTAGTGGTTGACATCTCTGAAAAACTTCTTTTTTCTATTAGGATCCATGTCTGCAGGAATCTCTCCACAGACCTTGTAGTTCACCACATCCGCATACCAGGGCATACTCTCTGAATTGACTGCTAGACATTGAAGCTCCTTCATAGCCATTCCTGTTTGATGCATCTTCTTGCATATCTCAACAACCATAAGATGTTCTTCAGGCATAGAGTCATCAATAGGGATTGGATCTTCTATTCTCATTCTGGACAGGTGATCAGCAACGCCGTTCTCTATCCCCTTCTTGTCAACAATCTCCATATCAAACTCCTGGAGTAGAAGTATCCATCTCAGCAGTCTTGGTTTGGTATCCTTCTTAGAGTATATATGTCTAAGCGCAGCATGGTCTGTGTAGACTACCACTTTTGATCCCACCAAGTAACTTCTGAATTTCTCAAACGCAAAGACTACAGCCAAGAGCTCTTTCTCTGTTGTTGCATACCTCACTTGTGTCTCATCAAGGGTTCTGCTCGCATAGTAGATGACATGCAGTTTCTTCTCTATTCGCTGTCCCAACACAGCCCCTACTGCATAATCTG